TCGAACCCAAGATCTACCATGCATGTGCATATATACATGGGCATCCAAGATTGGTATGGACCCATGCCTAAATTAGTTTCCTGGATTAGCTCAAGAATTGATCAGATTAGTTTCCAAGGACTCTATAAAAGTAGAGTTTTTAGGACTTTGTATTTAGAGTGTTCAACATAAACTTTTTTTCCTTAATCTTTTCCTTTGTATTTGTCTTTTGATTTTGTCTTTTTCTTATCATCTCTTTCTCTCACTGACGAGTTCCTAACAGTTTGAACACTCTGATATCCATGGCTTCCTCTTGTTCAGCTTCAATCATATCTTAATATTCTACGGAAGTCATATCAAATGTTAAAACAATCCAACACTACTCTTCAGTCATAACTCTAGCAAGTTCTTCAACACCAACAATGGCTCCCTTCCTTAGAATTGAAGATTGGTATGCCAACAAAATTTGATGGTATATGATCTAAGTTTCATAGATTTCTCAACCAAGTGAAGCTTCGAATTGTTATGTAGCTTGCTTGCTATTTCATTGCAACTTCTTGTGTAGGATTGATCAGATCTCTTCTCACTGGAACTCCTCTTTCTTGGTTCTCCGCTCTTTTTAAGAAGAATAATCCTGTCCTCCAAGATTTTAATCTTTTTATTCAATGCTTCACCAGTATGTTCAGTGATACTGATTGAGAGTACATCACCATCAACAATTTACAGCAATTATGCCAAGGCTCTAAGTCTACATCCACCTATGCTTCTGAGTTCTAGATGGTTGCCACCGACATCTTGTGGGATGATGCAACTCTCAAAGAACACTTCCGGCTTGGTTTGTGTGATGATATGAAAGATTTGATGCTTTCTCATCCAGATCCTACATCTCTCATGATGGGCATCAGTCTTGCTGTTTGGTGTGATAATTGACTTCAAAAATGTCGGCTGGAATGACATCCAAATTTTGTTTCATGTCCAGCACCCCTGGTTTTTGAGAACCCTATACATGAGCTAGGTGCAGTTCCAATGGAGATTGGAGCTACCCGACGGTGACGTCTTTCTCATGCAGAGACAACATTGGATTGAGAACCACTTATGTATGTATTATGGAGATGTGGATCACATCCAGCAACAGTGTCCTCATCTTCCATCAAGATCACAAGCACAAAGACCCCAGGATTTTCTCTGTTCTCTACACTAGCATCTCCCTCTAACATTATAACTGAGTCTGTGTTTAGGAAGTTCTTCCCATCCAACTTTGAGTCCTTTCTAAACATACATTGATTTCATTGTGCAACAAAATACTATCCCACGTTTGGAAGCTCAGGGAGTTTTGATGTTCAAAAGAGGGAACTGGCTGCCTACTTTGCAAATGTGAAGCAGGAAACTGGAAGTAAACTCACATAGCATTTATCCATTAATCTCATACTACGGAAGAGGACATTTGCAGCTCACCTGGTAAGTTGGAAATGTTATATTCAAAATTTAAAGAGTATATATATACAGGAATTACAATTACGATGCTTTTGGAAAGGCTTTCAACATGAACCTCCTCCAAAATCTAGACCAGGTTGCTCAGAATGGCGTCCTTTAGTGGAGGTCATCAATGTGGTTTTGGATGCAAAATTCGAATTGCCACACCGCAATAACATAGAACCAAGGATTTGGAGCTACAATTCGAGCCATCAGTGGAGGTCAGGATTGTGGCAAGGGCAGTGAGACACACGCACAGAACCATATCAATCATTACAAGGACTTTGCTCACAGTTGGGTGTTTCACTAGGCTGTGCTTAAACAAATGTTTTTAAAAGTTATTATTAATCAACTAATTAGTAATTAATTATAAGTTATGATGATGCTTTTCAACCTATGAAGGACAAGAAGACTTAGCGAGAGAGGGGGATAGAGCATGTATACCAAGCTGTGGCAATAAAGAGACTTATTTGGAGATCATCTTTGAGTTTTAAGACAACGATCATATCGTTTCTGCAGCTCTAGAAACGATCAGCGACATCAAGTGCTCACTCAACAGTTGATTATCATGGATGTCAATTGTGGCAGTTCTAGTGATTGCTGAGTTATTTGCTCCAGGCTTGGGTTTCCAGTGTCCAAAAGCCATGTTCTGGTTTGAGGATTCTATTGTCGATACAGAGAATGTTCAAGCAGCAGCTCCATTTATTAGTGCCGCAGAGTATAAGCCTTATGGCATGACTTTCTTCAGTAAGCCATCGAAGAGATACTCGGATGGTCGTGTGGTTGTCGACTTTTTTGGTAATTGTATGTGTTGATTAAACAGCATTTGATGTTATTTGTGAATGTTTTTGCAGCGGAGGCTTTTGAGTATGATAGATTCCTGGATCCCATTTTGCAAAGTATTAACTTGAATTATGCCAATGGGGTGAATTTTACGGTCTCTGGAGCGACTGCTTTGAACACCACCCTCGAAGTCCCACTGTACCTTCTAGTTCAGATTGACCAGTTTCTGAGGTTCAAGCAAGATGCTTATGACAGCAGGCATGGTAAAGGTAATGATTCTTCTCAAACTTTGCAAAGGTAGTGTCATTCATGGATTCCTCTGTAGGGATGCAAAAGCTAGTTCTTTATTATCATCATCTAAAGACTGCTTTGTATGTGGTTGGCATAAGTACTAACGATCTTCTCAATTCCTACTTGTTGAAGCATAGAAGCCCTGAGAATGTAACAGTTGTGGTTGTTCCATACGTTGTGAGAGCCATCTTTCACGCATTATAGATACACAAATTCCAGGTTCCAAATGTATAGTAGAAATAGTGGGTAGGTCAGGTATGGCCAACCAACCTGATGCATAGTTTAGCTCCCGCTTGCATTCATGTCTTTGTTCTGTGTCTGACTTAGGTCTAAACTCAAGTTTCACACTATATTAGTTGGTGGAGTACTCATATCCTTGCATTAAGCTACCAATATGTTGAAATAGTGCCATATTTTATTTGACTCTGTTTTACGTGTTAGTTTTGGCATTAGAATGCTAAATGCTCTAAAACTATTCTAAATCGCTCTGTGCTTTTGTCCCTTCGTTCCTTAGACTATACACTCAAGAATCACTTTGTGCTTCAGTTCTTTCGCTCATTAGTTTTATATTTAAGAGTTTGGCTCCATTCTTTCGTTCAATGGCCCAAAACCCTAAAACTTGGGTTCTGCTCCACTATCCTTAGACATGTGACATATGACATGTAGCATATAAAGGGTTTAGGTTTTGCTTTATGGTTATTCTATAGTAAATCACTATAGGATAAAGGGTGAAACCATATATGTTACAACTTTATTGTTGCCTCTATACTTATATTAGATCTTAGCACACATTTCCTACAAGAACTTCTGCCAATGAGTAATGTGGCTTTGAAGGTCCTTTTAATGATTGAAATACTGAAGAGACTAATGGTTTGAATCCACAATAATTGTTATACTGATAAATGTAAAATTAATATAAATAAAAACCTGTGTTGAATATTTAGTAGTTTTTAAACCTTTTCACTATTTTAGTGGAAGTCTAATCCATACAAATAATGTTGCCATTCCTTCACAACAACAATCACAACATACAACTCCTTATCTCAAGTAGGCCAATTTCACTGTATAATATCAAACTTTGTGGCTCATGACTATGAAAGAATGCCTAACTTGAAACAACACAACCCTAATAACAATATCACTTATCATTATTTATTAATCACTTTAGCATTTGTTAACCCATTTAGAATAATCCTTGCTTTGATGCTGAGTCTTGTGGCAATGAAAACAATTGCCCTTTACCTTGTCCATTTCTCCTTGGTCCAAATGAAATTTCTTAGCCTTATTGCCATCTCCATACTTTGAGCCATGCAATGGGTATTTCTTCCCTGAATATAAAACATTGGTAGGCTGGTCATCACATTGACTACCCCATAGACTATACCATTGACCTGAGTTGACTGAGTTAACTAATGGTTTTGGCGAAAAGATCTAAACCTTAATAATAGCATCAGTCAATGTTTTTAGAAAATCCTTCTTGACCTTTTGGTACACATCTATTGAACTCAAACTTTTGATAAAACATTGCACCTTTAACAATTTATTAAAGGTACTTATAAAACTAAGGTAAAGATCATAGAATTGATGGGCATATGCATCCAAAGATAGAGTTCTTTGCCTGATCTCTAGTAGCTAGTTTATGAGATCAACCTCTTTAAACTTCTTAACAAATGAAGCGTAAAATTAAGAAGTTCGCTTAGAATTAACTTTGATATAATTCTTCCACCACAAAGAAGCATGGCTTGTCAGCTTTGTCATAAAAAAAAAAATTCACCTTATCCTCACAAGGATTGTGAGAGCAACAACTTTCCCACAATGTCAACCAAGAATCAACTTCTTATCTATCACAAATATCTGGTGATAACTTCCATTCCACAATACTATAATCCTTGATATATTTAATGTACCAATGGTAATCATGAATATGAGATTGATTCAACCCTTCAAGGTTCATATGAAATAAGAAATCTTTAATGAAATTGATGGAATCCTTAACCTTCTTAATGATATTTTGAACCTCAATAATCTAGTGACTATACTATACTACAACACCATCAAAAGTTTTTTCCTCATCATCATGATTGTCATCACTAACACCATACACCTCATCAAAATCTATATCCCACTCATTTGCCATCCCCAAAAAACATGTTATTCCAATACCAAGGAGTAAACCCTAGGCCAACCTCCCAACCCTTAATGCATTACAGCCTTAAAGCCATAAAATATTCTTGGAATATTCATGTGGTTTGTGTCATGTGTTTTGGCAAATTGTAAATGTAATTGCTCTTGGGGATTGGATCAGCCTCTGCAGAAACATCCCATCGAGTAGGTACGGACAGTAAACATAAACCTGTTGGTAACCAATTTGCTATATGCTCTAAAAATATAATACTTATATAGTGAATATTCCATTATCAATTTGTACATACCAAAGTTACCATCAGATTTGAGCTTGCTGTTGCCCACAGATGTCCAAATACTCTCATCTGTTCATTGGAGGCTCCAATCACCTGGGTGAGTAGAGCAAGGACAATGAATACACAGGCAAACCTTGAGCTCACTAGCACTAAATTATGATCCCAATAGTGAAGGGACAGCACTTTCGTTGCCGAAGCAATCTGACAGGTCGAAAATAACAAACACAACTTAGAGCACACAAGCACAAACTAAATCAGCATTGATTACCCAGAATATCGTTTGGTGAATCTCCTCTGTAGAACCAATCGTTTATGCTCAGAGTGAGGTCACTTTGACAACATTTCTCACCGTTGATTCAAATATGAGAGTAATTGTTTGGCCTCTGCAATAAAGAGCTTTGAACCAGTGACCAAAGGACCAGAAAATCATGTGGACTAAACACAAAAAGTAAGGAAAATATAAGTTCAAAAATCGCCGCCAGCCCACGTACCTTGTCCACAAAGAGCTTCGTGATGTGATCTCCAAATCTGTTTACTTGAAGACACAGCAAAAATTCCAACGCGTTTAAGCTCACCTGCACATTATTGATTACTTAGTGTTGGATTTTTCTGTTAAGAGAGCTTACCGCAAATGTATCCCTTTCAGCTCTTTCGTGGTCTCCCCATATACGGGTGTCAAATATGCGTAGCACGTTCTCAGCTGGACCACCCTCTAGATGACAAAGCTCTAAATGCCACCAGTTATGACTATGCCTGCAAGAGAAAAAACAGAAACCAGAAGTGAGTTCGTATCACATCTATTTGAAAGAAGATCTTCTCAATCGTTAGATTCCAATGGAAACATTCAGCCCTTCATCTTCCAATCTAAAGCAGATTCCTTGGAACGCAATCCTTCCTTTAAGGTGAGCGATGTTCCACGAGGCATAGCGCTACAAGTGAGTCATTCTATCTCAACCATTGCCTTGTGGACGTTCTCACCAAGTCTGGAGGGCTGGAGGAGGCCGAGGAGCTCATGCATAGCGTGCCTGGCATCCGAGAGAATAAGAAACCAGGCCACCTGTTGCTCGGACAAGCAATCTCCCGGACCCTTGGCTTCGACCAGTTTTGCCCTCCTTGGTTTTCTGCAAGAAGCATATGAATCACTGACAATCCCGTAATTGTGTGGAGGTCTTCATTCTCCCAGTTAACCTCCCAGAGTGCTTCCACGACGAGTTGCCTAGCTCCACCATCGCATATGGCTTGAAGAGGAGATTCAATAAGCGAGCTTCGGACTGGATAGAAAGAAATCCATGCACAAGTCCAATGGTGCAGTCTCTGCGAAATAACACAAAACAAGGTTTTTTCAACACAAAGAGCCTCTTGCAATGCGCAAACAAGAAGAGCAGAAGAAGTCCACAAGAAAATGAAACAAGAACCTGAAGTGTGTCTGGAAGACATCTAGAACGAGTTTTTCTTCCCACTTGGCAGGCAAGTATCTGGACAAGACAAACCATCGATCAACCTGCTTGAATCAAAACAGAGCAAACTATGGCAACTGACAAGAAGTTCATTCCCGCGTTTGCTTCCCACACACAGGGCAGTCACAACAAGCTAAGCTGTTTGACATCACAGCACTGCAAGAAAACGATTACAAGCTCGATCACTCACCTGAGCTGGCGGAGCGTCCTGGAGTGACACACTGCGTTGCTGCTTCCCTACAACCCGAATCAAGCTCTCGCGGCCCTGGAGCATTGTAATGCCGCCTTAGCGGACCGGCCGCTTCCTCCTTGCCCTCCCAATAGACCTCAACCGTACGCTCACAAAAAAAAAACATTTCATAGAACTTTTCATCTGCAAACACGACATCCTTGTAGATAACTTATTCATCTTTAGCTAGTAGCTCATCTAAGCTCGAAGAATCTGAACGGGATTGACGCTGGATGCTTGGCCTTGCAATTCGCCGAGACTGCCCAGATGTTCTTCTGGCAGCTCACAGCGCGGAAGAAAAACTTGTGATCGGTGGAAGAAGCGGTCGTCAGCTGCACATAAGTTCTTGCCTCCACACAATGATCCGGCCATGTCGTTCCATAGGTGTACAAAGTAGTGGTGCCGGGGCAATCCAGTCACCACCTCCCAGGAAAGATCTTGGGCTGCGAAAACAAGCGTCTGTCCGGCACCACCGGGCGAGCTTAAGATCACCTGCTTGTGAGAAGATTTCGTTTCCTGCGGTGGAGAACGCAGCATTGGTGCTGCGGAGCTCCATCGATTCTTGCGAAGACGCTCACCGATTTGAGGCGGCTGGAAAGGAGTCCATTCAGAAGTGGCATATGGCTGACATTGTTCGGGCTGTTCATGTGGGATGTTATCTTTTCAGACGTTCCAGATGTCTTCCAGACACCTTTTCAGGTTCTTGTTTCATTTTCTCGTGGTTGCTCTACAGTTCTTGTTTGCAGACTGCACCATTGGACTTGTGCACGGATTCATTCTATCCAGTCCGAAGCTCGCTTATTGAATCTCGTCTTCAAGCCATACGCGATGGTGGAGCTAGGCAACTCGTGGCTGAGACTTGGGCAGAGCACTACGGGACATCATGTAGCGGGGTAAACTGGGAGAAGTACTCGCTTGAAGACCTTCAAACAATAACGGTCTGTATCGGAGGTCCAGGATTGTCGGTGATTTGCAAGCTTCTTGCAGAAGACCACAGTAACTGGACGGCTGGAGTGCCTGATCTTCTGCTGTGGAAGGAGAAAGAGGCAAAGCTGGCGGAAGTCAAGGGTCCAGGGGATCTCTTGTCCGAGCAACAGGTGGCCTGGTTTCTTATTCTCTCGGACGCTAATGTTCCTGTGGAACTTTGCAAGGTCTTCAAGACGGTGAATGATCGATCCTTCGGCTACTCCGAGTAGTGCCGGGCCCGAGACGGCTGCGCAGGCCTCTGCAACTTGCTCCGCCTTGCTTGAAGTCATAAGAACCGGTAAGCAACTCCGCCATTCCATCCCGCTGTGGACTGCGAAGAATCCATTGCGCGCTACACACATCCAGTTCCAAGTCCTCAGTGTCACCGTCTCAAGAGCTCTTCGATCAGGACCGCGAGGTGATAGAATCACCACTCGGCCTCCACCATCATCTTAAAGATCCTCTCGGTGGAGGATCAGGAAATACGAGTTCCAAAGAGATGAATCACGAGGGATTCCATGCACCTTAAAGAACACCCCCCGCGACTCTGTCATCCTATCCTATCGAACAATGCAGTTGCTTGCTCCATATCCCCATTGTGGGCATGGAGTCCTAGAGACTAAACCATCATCGCACTGGGGCATCCCAAAGAAGATTTGGCTGGCGTGATGCATGTCTCGGCCCGAGCCAAGCCCGAAGAGCTCGTTGCGGCATTTGCCTCGTCATGATGCCCAATCGGGGCATATGTGCTCACTATTGTCGTCCAGGTCACCACGTCCTGGCCTTCCTCGCATCAGCAACGCGATTTTCTTCGCAAAGAACCCGTAATAGGATGTTCCGAGGGAAGGGGAGTGGAAAACCTTGATCGCCTCGTCAAGATGCCCAAAGTGGGCATATGTGATAGCAGAATGTGCATTGCTGGTACTTGCTCGCCAGGATGAGCCCAACACGGGAGGATTCGAGTGCAGGGCTCTGGGTCCCAAGCTCTATCTCCTTGCAATTCGGTGAGCGTCTTCGATGCACGCAAGAATCGATGGAGCTTCGCAGCACCAATGCTGCGTTCTCCACCGCAGGAAACGAAATCTTTTCACAACCAGGTGATCTTGAGCTCGTTCTCAGCTGGACCACCCTCTAGATGAAAAAGCTCTAAATGCCACCAGTTATGACTATGTCTGCAAGAGAAAAAACAGAAACCAGAAGTGAGTTCGTATCACATCTATTTGAAAGAAGATCTTCTCAATCGTTAGATTCCAATGCAAACATTCATCACAAAGTAGTGGCGCCGGGGCAATCCAGTCGCCACTTGCGAGGAAAGATCTTGGGCTGCGTCTGTCCGGCACCACCGGGCGAGCTCAAGATCACCTGGTTGTGAAAGGATTTCGTTTCCTGCGGTGGAGAACGCAGCATTGGTGCTGCGAAGTTCCATCGATTCTTGCATGCATCGCAGACGCTCACCGAAGTCCTCTGTAGAACCGATCGCTTATGCTCTGATGAGAATCAGAGTGAGGTCACTTTGACAACATTTCTCACCGTTATTCAAATATGAGAGTAATTGTTTGGCCTCTGCAATAAAGAGCTTCGAACCAGTGACCAAAGGACCAGAAAATCATGTGGACTAAACACAAAAAGTGCTCTAAAATGTGTTCGTTATTTTCGACCTGTCAGATTGCTTCGGCATTGTACAAGTATGGCTCCGGCAATGAAAGTGCTGTCTCTTCACTCTTGGGATCAAACTTTAGTGCTAGGGAGCTCAAGGTTTGCCTGTGTATTCATTGTCCTTGCTCTCTCCCAGGTGATTGGAGCCTTGAATGAACAGATAGAGTATTTGGACATCTGTGGGCAACAGCAAGCTCAAATCTGATGGTAACTTTGGTATGTACAGATTGATAATGGAATATTCACTATATAAGTATTATATTTTTAGAGCATATAGCAAATTGGTTACCAACAGGTTTATGTTTACTGTCCATATGGGACGTTTCTATTCAGCAGAGGCTGATCCAATCCTCAAGGGCAATTACATTTACAATCTGCCATAACATATGACACAAACCACAGAAATATTCCAAAAATATTTCTTGGTTTTAAAGCTGTAAAGCATTAATGGTTGGGAGGTTGGCCTAGGGTTTATTCCTTTTTCATTTCATTAGTATTGGAGTAACATGTTCTTTTGGGGATGGCAAATGAGTGGGATATAAATTTTGATGAGGAGTATGGCATTAGTGATGATGGTCATGACAATGAGGAAAAAACTCTTGATGGTGTTGTAGTGCAGCATAGTCACTAGATTATTGAGGTTCAGAATGTCATTAAGGAGGTTAAAGATTCCATCAATCCCATTAACAATTTCTTATTTCATATGGACTTTCAAGGGTTGAATTAATCTCATATCCATGATTACCATTGGTACATCAAACATGTCAAAGATTATAGTATTGTGGAATGGAAATCATCACCAAATATCTAAAAAGTGGATTCTTAGTTGAAATTGTGGGAAAGTTTTTGATCTCACAATCCTTGTGAGGACAAGGTGAAGATTTATTTTTTTATGACAAAGCTGATGGGTACATACTTCTTTGTGGTGGAAAAACTACATCAAAACTAATTCTAAGTGAACTTTTTAAAATGATTTGAAAAAGATTTTCTACACTTCATTTGTCAAGAAGTTTAAAGAAGTTGATTTTATAAACCAATTACTACAGAGCAAACAAAGGACTTTATCATATGCCCATCAGTTCCATGGTCTTTGCCCTAGTTTCAGAGGTACCATTAATGAACTGTTAAAAGTGCAATGTTTTATCAAAGGTTTGAGAGTAATGGATGTGCACCAAAAGGTCAAAAAGGATTTTCTAAAATGTTGATTGATGTTATCATTAAGGCTCATATCTTTTTGCTAAAATCGTTACTCAACTTTATTCAACAGAATGGTCTATAGGGTAGTCAACGTGATGACCAGCCCGCAAATGTTTCATATTTAGGGAAGAAATAGCCATTGCTATGTCATGGCTCAAAGTATGAAGATGGCAATGAGACTAAAAAAATTTCATTTAGACCAAGAAGAAATAGACGAGGTAAAGGGCAATTGTGTTCATTGCCACAAGGCTGGACATCAAAGCAAAAATTGTTTTGAAGGGGTTAACAAATGCTAAAGTGACTATGGTGGAATTTATAAATAATGATAAGAAATAATGTGAGTGATATTGTTATTAGGGTTATATTGCTTCAAGTTAGGCATTCTTTCACGGTCATGAGCCACAAGTTTGATATTATATAGTGGAATTGGCCTATGTAAGCTCTTGAGTTTGGACTTTCCTGGAAGTCCTCCAGCCAAGTATCATTCAAACCCAAAGACGCTTAACTCCAATTATCCTAAAATAGTGAAAAGGTTTAAAAACTATTAAATATTCAACACAATTTTTTATTTATATTAATTCTACATTTATTAGTATAACAATTATTGTAGATTCAAACCATCAGGCTCTCCAATATTTCAATCATTAAAAGGACCTTCAAGGCCACTTTACTCATTGGCAAGAGTTTTTGTAAGAAATGTTTGTTAAGATCTAATACAAGTATAAAGGCAACAATAAAGTTGTAATGCATATGGTTTTCACCCTTTATCCTATGGTGATTTACCATAGGATAACCACAAAGCAAAACCCAAACTTTCTATATGCCACATGTTATATATCACATGTCTAAGGATAGTGGAGTGGAACCCAAGTTTCAAGGCCTTAAGCCATTGAACGAAAGAACAAAGCCAAACTCCTAGGAATGACTTTTGAGCATACAACCCAAGGAACAAAGGGATAGAAGCATAGAGCGACTTCGAATAATCCTAAAGCATCTAGCATTCTAATGCTAAAATTAAAATGGAACTAAACAGAGTTTAGAGCTATTTCAGCATATTAGTGGCATAATGTAAGAATATGCCAAGTAGCATGGAACTTGGGCTTAGACCAAAGCCAGATACAAAACAAAAACATACACGCAAGCAAAAGCTAGACTATGCATTATGTTGGTTGGCCATACTTAACCTCACTATCCCTAATATACATTTGGAACCTGGAATTTGTATGCTTATAATGTGTGAGAGATGGCTCTCACAACATATGGAACAACCTCAACTGTTAC